AGATGGAGGCCATTAGCACACCCAGCAGGAAGACCCCAGATGCAACCAGACCTGCACATACCCTGACAATACATCTCCAGGCCCTGGTTGGTGCCCCCAGGCTAAGGCAGCCACACCCAGAGATGGCAACAGTGGCAACAACAAACCTTCAGGCCTCTTAGCCCTGGATTCCCAGGCCCTGGCCAGTGTTCCACGATGGCAGCAGCTGCATGTGACCAAACCTGTGTGTACCCTGAAAATGGATTTCCAGGCAGCAACAGGCAGCAGGCACTCCTCAGGCAGTCTGTGGGCAGTTGGCAGTGTCAGCAAGACATCTGCATGCAAAAGGCGGGTGATATACTGGCAAAGGGCTAGTGATCACAGTGGACAAACAGAGGTCAAAGAGCAGGGGATCGGTGGGCAGTGAGAGCTGTTGCAGAGAACCAGTATTTCCTCTGCCTGAATCCCATGTCACAGAGCAACAAGGAATGCATCCTCCCTCTAGTATGCTATCTTAGATCTCCTTGTTTGGTTTTTGATAATAACCATGGTAACTATGGTGAAATGGGATCTCACTACAATTTTGATTTGCATTGCTCTGATGTCTAAAGTTATTGAGCATTGTTTTCATATGTTTATTGACCATTTGTATATCTTTTTTTAAATACCTTTATTTCACTTATTTATTTTTAAGTGGTGCTGAGGATCAAACCCAGGGTCTCTCACATGTGAGGTGAGCACTCTACCGCTGAACCACAACACCAGCCCATTTGTATATCTTTTGAGACATGTATATTCAGGTCATTTTTGTTTGTATTACTTTTTGTTCATTTGAGTTTTTCATGTATTCTGGATTTTAATACTCCATCAGATGCTGACAAAGATTTTTTTTCCCATTTTGGAGATTGTGTCTTAACTCTGTTGAATGTTTCATTTGCTGTCAGAAGCTTTTTACTTGATGTAATCCCATGTGTTAATTCTTGTTTTTATTTTCTAAGCTCCTAGAGTTCCATCCAGGAAACCATTGCTTGTGCCAATGGCTTGAAATGTTTCTCCTGTTTTCTTCTAGTAGTTTCAGAGTTATAGATGTAACATTAAGCTCTTTGATCTATTTTTAGTTGATTTTTTACAGGGTGAGAGATGAGGGTTAGTTCTAATCTTCTATATGTGAATATCCAGTTTTCCCAGCACCATTTGTTGAAGAGATGGTCCTTTCACAATGTGCGTTTTTAATAGCTTTGCCAAGAATTGGTTGACTGAAGATGTGTAGATTCATTTTTGTGTCCTCATTTTTGTCCTAGTCTGTTTACATATCTACTTTTATGGCAATATGCTGTTTTGTTATTATGGCTCTGTAGTATGTTTTAAAATTAGGTATTGTGATACCTCCAAATTGTTCTTTTTGATCAAGATCACTTTAGCTGTTCAGGGTTTTTGTGCTTCCATATAAATTTTACGATTTTTTTCTCTTGTTTTGAGAAAGAATATCATTGGTATTTTGATGAGAATTACATTGAATCTGTAGATTGCTTGGGTAGTGTGGCAATTTAAACAATTATTCCTTTCAATCCATGAACATGGTTAAGTCTTTCAACCTTCTACTGTTTTTCTCAGGTTTTTTTTTTTTTTTTAGTGTTTGGTAATTTTCATTGTAGATAACTTCCATCTTTTAGTTTTATTCCTAGGTATTTTGTGTGTATTTTTGGGGCTATCGTGAATTTCTTGATTTCTTTCTCAGCAACTTTATCATTGGTATTCAGAAGAGCTACTGATTTTAGTATATTGCTTTTGTATCCTGCTACTTTACTGAATTTGTCAATTCTAAAGGTCTTTTGGTAGAGTCTTTAGAACTTTCTCTGTATAGAATCATATCATCAACAAGCAGAGATAATTTGACATCCTCCTTTCCTATTAGTATCACTTTTATTTTATTTCTCTTTCCTATGTGTGATCTGATTGAAATTTTGAGCATTATATTGAATAAGAGTAGTGAGAGTGGACACTTGATCCTGATCTTGGAGGAAATACTGTCAGTTTTGTCCATTCAGTATGATGTTGGCTATGGTTTTGTCATAAAGAGTCTTTATTTTGTTAAGGTATGATTCTTCTATCCCCTGTTTATTCAGGACTTTCATCACAAAGGGATATTGAATTTGGTCAAAGACTTTTTCTGAAATTATCATGTATTTTTATCCTTGATTCTATTTTTGTGCTGTATTACATTTATTGATTTGAATATGTTGAACTATCCTTGCATCTCTGGAATGAAATCAACTTGATCATGGTGTATGACATTTTGAAATGCGCTGTAAAATTTGGCTTGCAAGTATTTTATTTAGACTTTTTGCATGTATATCCATTAGGGATATTGGAGTATAATTTTATTTATTTGATGTGTCCTTAGGTTTTGGTAGTAGGATAATTTTGACTTCATTGAATGAGTGTAGAAGAGCCCACTCACTTTATAGTTTATGAAATCTCTTGAGGAGCATTGGGATTAGTTCTTCTTTAAAAGTCTGATGAAATTCAGCAGTGAATCCATGTGGGACTGGGCTTTTCTTTGTTGCGAGCCTTCTTATTACTGCTTCAATCTCAGTACTGTATATTGATTTATTTAGGTTTCTTATGTCCCCTTGGTTTGATTTTGGTAAATCTTATATGTCTAGAAATTTGTCAATTTCTTCTAGATTTACCAATTTGTTGGCAAGTAGTTTTTCAAAATATTCCCTAATGATCCTTTTTAATTTCAGTGGTGCCTACTTTAATGTCTCCTTATTAATGTCTAACTTAATTTGGGCCTTCTCTTTTAATTAGTTTAGCTTAGGGTTTGTCAATTTTACTTATCTTTTCAAGAACCAACTTTGTTTATTCAATTCTTTGTATTGTTTTTATCTTTATTGCATTGATTTATGCTCTAATCTTATTATTTCTTTCCTTCTACTGGTTTGGGGCCTTGTTTGTTCTTGTTTCTCTAAGACCTTTAGATGCATCATTAGGTAATTTATCTGAGATCTCTTTATTATTTTAATGACAACACTCCTTGCTATAAACTTCCCTTTCAGTGCTGCTTTTGTTATATTCCACAAGTTTCAGTATATGCGGTTGCATATACTGAATTTCCCTCTGATTTCTTCAATGACCCAATTCACCTAATAGTATGTTGGTCAATCTCCATGTTTTTGTCTAATTTCTGCAATTTCTCTTGCTGTTGATTTCTGGTTTCATTCCATTATGATAGATAAGGTGAAGAAATTATTTCTTTTTTTAAATTTGATAATACTTACTTTGTAGCTTTCATATTTCTTGTGTTTCTGTGTTGAGATTTGCACATCTATTGAAATGGAAACTTCTTTCACTTTTATATGAGGCCTTCTGATGATACATATTGGGGTATCTGTTTTGTAATGTTGAATTTAATTCCATTAGACCTCATAGTTTAATCTCCCTGCAGCTTCTTTGCTGTGATTAGTGGGTTTTGACATAATGTATCAGAGCCTAAGGGACCTACTTTCTCTAATGGTCTTCCAAGGGTAGGGTCCCTTTGGTAATTTAGATAGGTGTGGTGTATGTAGATGGCAGATGATGTGGAATTCACTTTCTGTGGTTACTCCTGCAATGGAAGTGGTTGCCCTATCAGGTGGTGGGTGTTGCCATGTGCACTGTCAATTATGGCTCTGTTACTTGAAAAGTATTTCTGATACAGGATGTTCCAACTGAGGTGAAGGGCCTGAAGATTACCTGTTCAGACAATGGTGCAGTTTCTGATGTTTCATATGGAGAGGTAGGGACTGGGATCACAGCTCCTCCTCTGTGGCACTCACATCCAATCTTGTTAGCAATGTGTGATATGACAGGTATGATGACAGCCAATGCTGAGGACCCTCATAGATGCAGTGTCCACAGGAGTTGTTTTATTTCTATTGATTATTTCTGTGATATGACTATCAAGGAGTGGGATGTCATAAGCCCCTAGCTGTGCCCCTTGGGGACTAGTCACCACCTGGAGACTTTTGTCCCCATTCTTTTAAGTTGAAACATCCACCAAGGTTTAACCAGGACTTGGTTGTATCTGGAACAAGGTACAATTCCACTCAGGTAGACTTTAGTGTAGCTAAGTGTCAGATCACCCAATGTATATGAATTCCCAGGCTTGATCCCCATCTCCACTAAATAAGTAAATACATAACTATATAAACCATATAAAAATAAGATAACAACAATAGCATCAATCACCATAACAGAGAAGAAAGAGGAAAATATAGAATATGATAAAAAGATTCTTAAAAATTAAAATTAAAAAAGAAGTTAATAAAGTGAAAAGGGAAGATAAAAAATTAGAAAGAGTAGAATAAAATTTTTTAAAGGTCCAAAAATTTCTTCCCCTCTAAGATGCTCAAACAAAGGGAGGAGAGTGGATGATCACAACCTATGCCAATCAAAACTTTACTGTCTTCTTAGGCTGTGCACCCTATGTACTGAGTGAGTGAGGGGCTAGGGGTTTTTCTAACCCCAGTTCTTTCCATTGTGTAGCTTACCAGGTTATAGGCAGGTGTGATCTCTGGCTGACACTAGTTGGAATTCCTCTATTTCTTTGCATTCTGAAATATGCCAAGGTCAAATGCAAAGTCATCCAGGCAATCTGTAGCTTTTTGAACTGTGCACTCTGAAGGCAGGGCAAACACTCATTTGTTTTGTTCTCTAATGTTCAAGAAATAATTATGTGAACATTTAGTGCCTAACTAATTACTAAAACATATAATTCTGCCTTTATTTGGCATATGGAACATTTGGTCTTCAGGTTGTATAAGATTATAATTTCAAACACACATCTTTCAAATTCTTAATGCTAAGTGAATTTAGCCTATCCCCCCCCCCAAAAAAAAAAAAACAAATGTCGAATGTTTTCTTTGATATGAGGATGCTGACTCATAGTGAGAAAATATTTTGAAAAACAAATGAATTCAAAAAGCATATTTGTTCATTATTCATCAAACAATGATAAATGTTCTATTTGTTTCCAGAAAACTATATAATGAAATTGAGAACCAAATTATTTTCTGGATCTGTGAAATCTGATAGTTTGGATGGTATAGATAAGTCTTTGCTCACCCTCATCCTCAGAAATCCTATTGCTGTCTGGGTATCTTGTGGTGAACCATTTATACCTCCAAATGGTAAGTGTTTTCATTTTCACTTTATTTCAATTAACTATATGAAGGTGGAGAGAAGTAAATCTTATGTCATAACAAGAAAATGAATTAAATGTGTATAATGTCAACATAATAACATCACATTTATGCAAAGAACAGGAGGTCCATCAATTAATATGCGCACAAGGATAGCTATACTTACATATTTGCACAATTACCAGCTTTTTCTTACTGGAATGGAGTATTCTGTGTGGAAAAAATGTCTAATTTAGTTGATAAAGAGATCCTTGGTCTATAAGACGGAGAATAATGGTATACATTAGAAAATAACAAATGAGTTTAATTCGCACTGAGGACGACCTGTCTGCACATTTTCATTTTTAAGAATTGCACCCTTTAGGCAGTAGGTGAATGTTTAAAAAATGAATGGTTCCAAGCCAGGCTTTCATCACCTCCAAATAGTTTGTGGAAGTGGAAAATGAAATATGGCTATTGCATATGGTAAATCTGTATAATAAAACAGCACTGTTCTTCTTTTTTTCCATAAAGAAATGCCGTAAGCCCTGTCATCTTTCAAGTGAGGTTTCTTTTAATGACCCTTACCTTTTAATTACTTGTTTCTAATTGAATCTATTTCTTGAAACAGAAAGTTCTTTATAAATTATTAGTGTTCATGTTAAATTACTGTTGATAAAAGAATGTAAGGTAAAATATCATGTATTTTTATTATTCTAGCATTGCAGAAAGCAGAAAAATTAGAGAAACAGAACTGGCTAAAAAAGGACAAAATTTTGGCTGATCTAGGTACCATGAAACACAAAATGAGGCAGTTAAAAGGTCAGTACGAACTAAACCAACATGATTGTGTTTAATTCTAAATGTAACCTCAATTTGCTGATAGTTATTTTCTACTATTAAATACCAAGAATTTAACATAAATATTTTGTTACACAGTCATTTGAGCAGAATCCAAAACCTAATAATACATTTTTATATTGATTTTATATTTGTAAATTTTATATTAACAGGAATACCATATAACATATACATACATTTAAAAAATTAGGAGAGTATCTGTGACAGATAATCACCCTTTTGCTTTTGAAATGATTCCTAAATTAACATTTTATGGGCTTTGGAATTAGTTTTTGTTTAAACAAAACATTTCAGTGATTCCTTGGGTATTGTTTTATTTTTGTTGTTTTTAATAATCAGAATAAGGAAGTACTAAAATCTTCAATGGTCATTGTCAATATCACAAGGACTCCTTTTTATACAACATAAGACATGCTATTTATGGTCAAAGTGATCAGTTGGCATAATTTGTCATCTTCCATTCTTTTTTTTTTTTCATAGAATCTTGGGATCCTAGACTTATTCTATTTCTAGTACTTGAAATAGAAGTGGTTTTTTGGAAAGAAACAATGTTCTGGAGACTTTAGATGAGGAAGGTAGAATTTATTTCAAGCTTCATAATAGCAGAATTTTAACTCAAGTATCTTGCTTCAATAAGTAGCACAAATTACAGCACAAGACAGATCTCTGATTTGAAATGGCTACTGTCCATTTCTTACCAAAGCCATATTGATTGGCTATAAGTGAAAAATTTCTGTTACTACTCATAGCCTCTTCTGCTCCTACTTCTAGACATTTTAAAGTTCTATGGACATGTCCAAAACGAAATCTATTACATCCCTCCTATATCAGTGCATCTTTGTTTTCTCTAGCAACACATTCTACCACCATCTACCCAGTTATTATGTCACAGAAGCTGGGAAGTTATTCTTGGCATCTCCTTCTCCCTCATCTTTCCCAAGAAAATATTTAGCAAGCCTTCTTACTCTGAATCTGTTAAGTTGATCTCAAATGATTTTAACCCTTTTAGTCTACAATTATTATCCAAGTTCAAGCATGTAATATCCAGTCCTTAGATTACGGAGTTTTCAAACTGGTCTTCCTCCTTCTGATGACAGCAGTTACTTTTATATGAATAGGATGATGTTCTAGAGATGAAGGGATCATGCATAAATGCAAAGGAGTCATGGTTCTCCAGGTATAAAAACTTTCAAGGGTTCTATTATTTTTAGGATGTAGTTGAAGCTCCTTATATGGGTCTTCCTGATCTCATTTTCTGTGAGTTCCCACTCTCTCTGCTCACCACACTCCAAACATCTCAAATTTATTTTAGTGCTCCAGACAACACATGCTGTCTTCCTGAGGTTTGACACCCTCAGTTCCCTCTGCCTTGGTGTTTTCTTTCTTCTGAACTCTTGGATTGCTCCTACTCATTCTCATTCTCTATATATTTTAGATAACTCGTTACTTCTTCCTGGAATCCTCCTCCAACCTTCCAAGCCTGGGATAATGTGTTGATAACACTCTGAATTTCTCCTCTGATAGTTCTTATCGCATTATTTTAATTACCTATTCATTTGACTATCTTCCTTCTATCAAATCATGAATTGTAGACCCATCTAATTTGTTATTTGAATAACTGTGGAATGATTGGCTTAACCGTGGTGACTTGCTACCATAATTCCAGGGATTCAGAAGGCTGAGACAAGGTTGCAAGTTTGAGACCAGCCTCAGCAAATATTTGACCCCCCCAATAACTTAGCATGTCCTTATCTCGAAATAAAAAATATAAAAATAAAAAGGACTGGGGATGTAGCTCAGTGGAAAGGTTCAAAATCCAGTACCAAAAATAAATAAATGAATGAATAAATAAAAGTAATTTCAACCATTTATTCTAGGCTCTAGGGAGTGATTCAAACTTTATTCTTAAATCAAGTTAAATCAATAGAAAGCAGCATACTGAAAAGTGCCCCTTGCAGAGCTGCCTGACTGAATTCTGATTTGATGCCACATCTTTAGCTTTTATTACAATTAAATATCAAAAAGGCATTTAAAGTAAACTTGGAGTCATCTACAATATTACTGTTGAATACAGTCTTTATTTGGTCAGTTGATTTCCATTATGGAGTGATCCATTGATGTAGTTTCTCTTCTAATTTAATGCTAAGATAAATCTTGCATCTACTTACAAACTTGTATATTTTCTGCTATTAAATATAAACTCAAAACATGTTCATAAAATACTCTGAATAAGGCCCTTTTCTAACTGTTAAGATTATGAGAATTAAAAAAAAAACCCCACAAATCTTATCTCTGGTAACTGCATTCCTATTAGATGGTGTGTCTCTTGAGGGTTGAATTAAAGGGGAAGTATGATAAGTATGAATAGTTGCTGAATTGACTACTTCTTATTATTATTATAGCTGTTAGTAAATGCAACAAATACCATGTGCAAAAAACTGTGGTAAGTTGATTTTACATTGCATTTGTAAGCGTGATCATTGCCATTATCATTTATAGTATGAGTGATTACTTTATAGGGCTTTTATGATTAGAAAATGTCAAATATTTACTACATGGTTACAGCAAATAATCAATATTGGGATAAGGTTCCTGAGAAGACAGTATATTTTTCCACTTGAGGTTTTAAAACTAGTAAATGAAACTCAGAAATACAAATCAGGCCTAGGTATCACCTTTGTTATACATACAGACAGTGTTGGAACATTTCTTTTGATGTGTGAACTGAAACCCCAAATCGGGTAGACTTGTCTTTTCCAGGCAAAAAATGATACTGAACCAGGGGTGGACCTTCCAGTAAGGGAGGGGATGAGGGGACTGGCTTAAGCAGTTAGGCTTAGAGTATGACAGAACATCAAAACACTTATGTTTTCAAGTTTCCAAGAGAAAAGAGGGGAAAAATGGTCAAGAATTGTCAACTTATTTTTACCAATTTCCAACTAGAGAAATCATCTGCATTATCAATGGTGTTCCATCCACTTGAAATGAAACTTTTAGAAGAGGGCTAATAATTAGCTATTATCATAACTGACCCCTGATCTCATGTGAAATAAATAGGGTGTTTGGAAAATTTAAGAAGAAAATAAAAATAGTTTATTCAATATATTTTTGCCTTTCTTTGATATATGTTATTCTTACCTACATAAATAATAGTTTATTATAAAAACCTTTCCCCCAGTTAAAACCTTTTGTGGTGACATTATATCTCTTTATGAAAATTGTAGTGCAAATGCATGCATTTTCTTAAGACCATTAGAAGCAAGTTGACAAATAATAAATAATGCATAATATTTTTTTCTGTTTCCTATGTTCAATCCCTGACTCCCAACAGTGTAATGATAAGCTATTGTTGAACTCCTGGTTTAAAAAATTGCAACGTTTGAAATACATTTTAAATAATATATTTGTTGGAATATTATTCATAAAAATTAAATGTCATAAATTAATGTTATCTCTGTTCTATAAATAAAGTTGACTAAAAACTATAGTTAGTATAAATTTGTATTGAGCAACTACTCTGGTTCTTTTCAAAACACATTACCTAGTGCATTGTCACTGTAACTCATTGGCTAATTGATTCAATCATGCTTTCTTCACATTCATAAATTACATATGAATGCATATTAGACACATAAGATTCTGGTTTATTTGAAAAATCATTGCTGCTACTTATTTTTATTTCTGAATATAGTACCATAAACTTAAGCTGTAAGTACAGATTCTTTATACTCTGCAAATGCAAATGATTTTTAAAGGATTTTGTCATAGTCTAAAAATCTGCCCATTAAGAGTAACTTGGGCATGAGTCGGTGGCATATCCCTGTAATCCCAGCAGCTTGAGAGGCTGAGGCAGGAGGATCGCAAGTTCAAAGCCAGCCTCAGCAACAGCAATGTGCTAAGCAACTCAGTGAGACCTTGTCTCTAAATAAAATACAAAATAAGGCTGGGGATGTGGCTCAGTGGTTGAATGCCTCTGAGTTCAATCCCTGGTACCCTCCTGCTGAAAAAATAATTTGGCAAAAAAAATTAAGATGCAGCTTCATCTTATCAACATAATTGTTGCTTTCTCAAAGAAGCTTTCTCTGATATCTCAGACTAGGTCAGCAGCTGCTGTTACATGCTCTCTTAGTCCCTGGTACAGCACTATTGTAATGGATTTTTGGTTTAATCATTTCCTTGGATTTGCCTTCCCTACCAAACTTGAGGCATGGGCTCACTCTCAAACCTGTCTGCATTTGCATCATATTGCACAATGCCTGACCCCTAGCTGGCGCTCAATGTAGACTTCTGGAAGGAGTGTACAAAACAAAACATTAACCAGATCCGTCCACACCAGCCTGTGTGGGACCAAAGCTCACAGAAGGCCCAGGTCCACCCCTTTACCAGTGGGGCAGAGACCCACCAGAGCCCAGCCTCTGGCACATGACCGCCTCTTTTGACCAACAGACTATCATGGGAGCCCAGACCTGGCCTGGATCCGCCCACACCAACTTGTGCAGGACCCAGGTCCAGGGTAGGTTCGAGTTTGCCTCCTCACACCTGAGAGCCTAAGCCTAACCCACTTCCATCTTGGGACACTGCAGTCATTGCCATAGCCTTCTCCAAGCAGTAGTCCATAACTTTTTGACAGTAGACAGGACCTAGAAGCAGCTGCATCTCAGAGCAGGCATCCAAAAGAGAGTGTAAGGCCCACCCTTTCAGCCCCATCTCTGTAAGACATTGCTTCCATCTTGGAGCACCTTAACTATTATCTCAGTCCACCATGCGACCAGCACACTGGTTTCATTAATGAGGTTCTTGGCATAAAAGTTAGCTAGCGAGATCGAAATAAAACACACAGACTCAGTTACCTTTTACTATGACCAGGTCCGAGACGGCTCCCCTCTCTGGTTCCCACCTCGAACCACCCGGTAGGGCAGCAAGGATTACTCAGGGCTAGCAGGAGAGAGAGAGAGAGGGAG